CCCACGTCCCTTCAGTCCACGCCCACGTCCCTTCAGTCCACGCCCACATCCCTTCAGTCCACACCCACATCCCTTCAGTCCACGCCCACATCCTTTCAGCCCACATCCCTTCAGTCCACACCCACATCCCTTCAGTCCACACCCACAAAGTGATGGAGCAAGTTCACGGCCTCAGCCAGTCAACAGTTCATTATATTAAATTTAAAGTATTTACTCAGCTGAAGCCAACGTGTGTTCTGGAACTTATTTGGGGTTTAAATGATAAAAACATGCATTTATATACTTTTGTTAACAAATCTATAATTAGCTTTTTTCTTCTATGAATGTAAGCCCATCGATGACTGTGTAACTGGTTGTCTGTTAGCAAAATATTTCCTGAAGCACTGGCTGGATTCTAACGAAACTCTCAGAGAGGAATCCTTGGAGGTTTGTCCACATCTCATTAACTTTATGAACCAACTGAATTCAAGATGGCTGCCACAGCTAATCAAGTGTATTCAGCACAGTTTCATAGATAATGAGGGTAAGTTGGTGTGGTAGTAGCAGATATTTGATTAAAACCTGTGATTTGTCTCTTGGTGACCCTGCTGCTGCCCTTGGGTCAAAACGAACCCCGAGGCCTCGGCTTTAAAACTCACTGGTTCTGTACAAATAAAGTGAACTGAGGGTTTTGGACTTCTGCCTGTTTGATTTGCTGCTTATCGAACCCAGAACCTCGTTAAAAATAAAGTTTCTTTAAGACCGCCTGGAGGACAGGGAGACCAAGTCCTGTCTCTCGTCTTGTCCCATCTGTCTCTGAGACATCAGCGTTTGTCGGACTCGGCTCCACCTCGCCGTGTCTCTGATGGAGTTTGGGCCGGTGTTTGTGAGCCCGGTTCTGTTCTCCAGCTTCAGCGTTTCCATCGGAGTCCAAACGCTTCAATTCATGTCCCCCGTGCTCCCCCCGTGGTCTGACGGTCCTTTCTGTCCTCCAACAATTAATATGGGATGAATCCTGCTGCAGCGTCTCTAAATGTTCCTGAGAGTCTGGACCGGGCCGGACCGGCTGAGTCAGGAAGGAAACGAGGTGTTTGCTTTTCACCTGGGCCACCGGCAGAACCAGAACCATAAATCTGTTCTGAAAGTATTGGGCCAAGTGGGGGTGGGGGCTGGGGAAACCTGGGGGAGTCAGCAGGGACCGCCTTGCAGCTGGCTCCAGCTGATGATGTCATCAGAAAGAGACGATGATCACAGTAATCGTGTCACGGTGCTCAGCCCATGTGCTGACAGGACTCTCAGCTACTACCACACCAAACTGCTGCTCAGGCTGTGTGAAGCCGACAGGCAGACACATTTTAGTCTTTCATAAAGTCAGTGCTGAGTCGGCCATCTTGACTCATAGACGTCTGCCCAACGGTTTCCTTCTCAGGGTTTCAGCAAAGTCTGTCCAGTGGTTCACGGGATATTTTGCTAACAGACTCCAGCTGTTGCCCATCTCTTTCCTTTCAGCAGTGGGTGAGGATGAATCCAGGAGGCGAAGCCAGCGCCTGAACTGGATCAGACTAAATATAAAAACACTTGAATTATTAACGAAGCTCAAAACATTCTCTGCAGAACTTGGTCCAAAACATCACCCTTTCTCCCACAATGCACCTTGGTACCATCACCTTTGGGTCAGAACCAGCAAGAACTCCTCCAGTACTTTGAGATCCAGCAGCTCTTCTAGTGGACCAGAAATCAGGGACCAGTCTTCAGCTGCTGTGGACCTGGTGGTTTTAGACCACTTCACAGACCTTACTTCACCTCTGTGTGTTCTATTATCTGTCTGTTAGCAAAATATCTCATGAACCAGTGGACTGAGTCACACAAAACTCCCCGAGAGACGCCTACAACTGGTTAATGTTCGGAGGTAAACTGATCCAAGATGGCCGCCACAGCTAACTGACATGTCTCTAACTCAGTTTTGTAGACACTGAGCTCGAATGTGGAGTGGTAGTCGCTGAGAGTCGTCTCCAACGCAGACTGTGAGAGCCGATGGGCGACATGCATTCAATGATCTTTACTATTCATAAGATATTTAAAAAACAAGATGGGAACTTTAACGACTAACAAACATTTGTAAATTATTTTTAAACATTAAAAGATCAACTTCATTTTCCAGAGCTGTGATTTATTCCCACCATAAACACAATCATTCGCAGATGTTTCATCTGAAAGTTAAAAACATTTTTACGAGTGTTCAGCGTATAAATTTATAAACGTTTTCAATCTGATCTAATCCGAGCTGAGCTCAGAAACCACGGGACGAAACTAAAAACGGACTTTTAGCAGATTTTATTTATTAACCTTTATCTCTGGACGCGTGCAGAAGCTTGAGGAGGGAGCAGCGCCGCCATCCTGTTTGACTTCATGGACCTCCTCACATCAGATTGTTTTGCTCGTTAATGACACCCGCTGGTGACACCCGGCGGAGTTTTATTTAATCTATTTCCTGTTGTTGCACTGGTCGTCCAGTTTAAACGTTTGAACTGGAGGAAATTCAGAGCTGTTGGTGGAGCCGCCATCTTTGAATTAAATAACACCGCTCAGGTCGTCCCACATAAACCAGCGCATCGTCAGCGTAGAAGCAAACGTGCTCATCCTTCACGTGGCCGAAACACGTCATGCTTCTGCCGTGCGCTTCATTTCCTCTAATGTTGAACCAACAATAGTTCCGTTTGTCTCGTGTGAAGACAAATCTGTGAGTTCCAGTAAAAACCAGCTGAGTCAGCAAGAAAACAAGGTGTTTGCTTCTCACCTGGGTTAGTAGGAACACTCATTAATCTGAGCTGAGAGTTTTGGGCCAAGTGTGTGTGTGTGTGTGTGTGTGTGTGTGCGTGCGCGTGTGTGTGTGTGTGCGTGTGGGGATACACCTTTACAGATATACAAATAAAAAATAAATATTCTGCTCAGCAGCTGCACAGGAAGTTTTCTTTCAGACTTTTAGTTTGATCTTTTGTCCTCGATTCATCCGAACATGAAGAATTTCGTTTTCTGCCAAAAGCAAAATAATTAAAGCA